CTGCCTGGGTGAAGTGAGGTATTGTAAGTTTTTATGGTCGGTCCACACCTCAAAGGGTATGCCGCTTCCCTCCAATAAGTGTCTCCACATTTCTAGAGCCCTTAAGACTGACAAAGCTTCCTTTTCCCACACTGGCCAGTTCCTTTCAGTTTCGCTGAACTTCTTTGAGATAAATCCACAGGGTTTCAACCTCCCTTCTGGATCCTTTTGCATCAGGACTGCCCCATAAGCCCAATCCAATGCGTCACAATGGATCACAAACGGCTTGGTCAAATCGGGGTGGATTAAGATTGGCTCCTCAGTGAATCTACGTTTCAATTCTTCAAAAGCCCTTTGGCACTCTGTTGACCAATTCAATTTTGCTCCCGGGGATCGTACCTTTACTGTCTCCCCTTTTCCCTTTGTTTTTAGCAGTTCGGTTAGGGGTAAAGTCACTTGAGCAAAGTCCTTTATGAAACCCCGATAGAAATTTGCAAACCCGAGGAACGATTGCAATTGCTTGCGTGTTTGTGGAGGGCTCCACCCCCTGACGTCCTCTACCTTTGACGGATCCATTGCTATCCCTCCTTTGGAGATTCGGTACCCCAGGAAGTCTATCTGCTCCTTATTGAATTCACATTTTGGCAGCTTTGCAAACAGTTTCGCCTCCCTCAATTTCTGGAGTACCTCCCTCACCAATTGAACATGAAATCGTTCATCACGAGAAAACACAATTACATCGTCTACAAAGCAATAAACTCTGCGATACAGTAAAGGGTGCAGGACCTCGTTAATCATCTGCATAAAGGCTGATCCAGAGCCTTTTAGCCCGAAGGGGCAGACAGAATATTCAAAATGGCCGAACGCACAGGTGAACGCCGTTTTCCACCTGTCCTCGGGCCTTATCCGCAACTTATGATAGGCCTCAATTAAGTCAATTTTCGTGAATACCCTTGCCTCTGATAGTCTTGACAGTAAGTCTTTGGTTAGCGGCATTGGGTAATTGTTCGTTGTGCTCACTGCATTTAGCCCCCTGTAGTCCACACACAGTCTCAACGATCCGTCCTTCTTGTGCCTAAACAGCACTGGGGCCCCCAAGGGTGATTCGGAAGGTCTTATGAACCCTCGGGCTAAGTTCTTGTCAATATATTTTCTCAGTTCCTCCATCTCTTTAACTGACATGGGGTATAACCTACTTCTGGGCAGCTTGGCGTCCTCATTGAGTTCAATTTTAACTTCGACCCTTCTAGGGGGGGGAAGCTGATCTGCTTCTTTTTCGCTAAATACATCCTCAAAGTCTCTATATTCAGGAGGGATTTCTTGCACTTCGCTTGCTGTGCCTTCCTCCCCCTTGCGACACTCCTCCCCCTCTTTGTCCTGGAAGCTTATGCTGCCCCTCTTCCAATTGATCTGGGGGTTAG